CCCAGGATCCCTGAGAGGGAGAACTGAGGCAGCAGTGGGCTGCATGGGTGAGACAGGAAGGCGGAGGGAGCAGAGATTGAAAAGGGGGAGATGGAGGCTGGTGCTGTAAGGGGAGCAGGTTAAGCCTCTCTCTGCAATGCCAGCATCCCATATGGGCGCTGAGTCAAGTTGAAGTACCATTTCCAATTCAGCTCCCTGCTAATGTGCCTGGGGAAGCAGAAGAGGATGGCCCAAGTGCTTGGGCTGCTGCCCCATGTGGGAGACTTGGAAGAAGCTCCTGGCTCCTGGCTTTGGTTTGACCCATCCTGGGAGCATTGCAGCCATCTGGGGAGTGAACCAGTGGATGGAAGATCCCTGACTCTCCCTCTGGACGACTTTCTCCACTTCTTAAGTAGCCCGAGGCAGACGAGTACCCAGTGTGACCAGCTCGGAGAGCCTGTTCCCAAGGCACAGGTGGAAAATGGGGCAAGTGACTGTGGCCGTGGGCTGTGTTCTGTGGCACATGGAAAGATCCTCGTGCGATCTGGTGATTATATAAGGGATGTGAGATAATCTTTAGGATGAATTTGTTTGGAATGGGCAACAATACACCTGAGTTTGCAACTTGGTACTATGAGTGGTCTCCCCAAAGTTCCTGCAAAAAGCATACTGTGAAAAACCGTGGATTTCAGATTTTTTGCACCAAGATAAACATTGCTGTGTTCTACTTTTCATGGTTCTGAGGTTCCCTCGTCCTGGGAAGAAGTATTTGAAATTATCTGTGCCTTTAGGCCTTAGATGACAGGATCAAGAACAGCCAGACTAAGCAGCTCGGAAAATGCCTCCATGTGGCTGATAACCTGTGACCCTGCATCTGAGGCCGGTCACATGGGTCAGCCTACGATAAAACCCTCCCATGGCTGCCCGATGCCTTGGAATGAAACCCCACTGTGTGCTTTGCCTCCCCATCGGGCATGGGTGGACTCCACTTCCCTGCCCTCCAGGGCTGCAAGTGCCGTGGTCTTTTTTCAGTTCTGCTGACACACCTTGCGTCTTCCACGTCAGGACTTTCATACGTTCGCTTCCTCTGCCCAGATTCAGCAGCCCTGCCCAAGTCTCCTGGTCAGTCCCAGCTCCCAGAGCAGGCACCCTTCAGGGCGTCAGCCCTGCCACCTGCTGCTCTAGAGCGTGGTCTGTTTGTTTCCCTCCTAGCCCTTCTTGCAAACAGTCATCCTTGTGTTCATACTTTCTCCATCTCTCCTGCTCTCTGCTCCCTACCAGCCAGGGAGGCATCCCCACTTCCACCATATGATGAAGCATGAAGGAGCCACCCACGAGCAGTGGGCCCTCATCAAACACTCAGTGTGTTGGTGCCTTGACCTTGGACCTCAGCCTGCAGAACTGCCTCTGGCAAATTTCTGTTGTTTGTGTTACCTGGCCTAAGATCTTTTGTTATAGCAGCTGGGACTGACTAAGACAGTCTTGACTGTTACTGAATCTACAGTGTCTCTTCTTGTTTCTGACACAGATTTGGAGCTCAAAACGTATTTGCTGAAGGAAAATAAAGGAAAATAAAGTCACGAGGACTCAGAGACCCCTCTGGACCACGTGATCGCTGATGCAGCATCCCTACTCTCTGCCACAGTGAGAAGGTCACTGGGATGCCCAGCAACTCCCAAACCTGGAGGAAATGGTCAGGATGGGCCGCTGCTGGACAAAGGCCCAGGTCCTCCTGCCAGCGTGGGATTCTGGGAGACAAGCGCAGGAGGACACTGCCTTGCAGGATTCTGCCCTCGGGTCAAAAAGCCTGTGAGGACCCACAGGCAGGCTGTGTGGGTGGGGGAGAATCTGAGCCTGATGCTTCAGCTGGAAAGTGGGGGGCAGGCTCTCCCAACGCGTTATGGAATGGGGCTGGCGCGGGGGCTGACACAGCCAGTCTCCGTCCGTCAGGGAGCAGTCCGGGTTTAGTCATTGTTCTCCCCTCCTTCCCAGCTGTCATTGCGGATCAGAGCCAGGGGGCTGTCCTCTATGTAGGGTAAATTCCTGGATGGCCAAGGCTGCACGCTTCTCCACACGGTTAGGAGAGGAAACACTTGCTGCCTGGAAGACTCACGTCACACAGGCAGGCTGCAGTCTCTCCTGCGAGCAGGGTTGTCCAGGAGGCAATTTGGAAGGTGACAGTGGCATTGACTGGGTGCACACTCAATGCACGTCTCTATCAGCCCTTCCACCAGCAGCAGCCGTACCCCTCTCAGCTTTGCGTCTCTCCCCTTAATGATTTTGCCACTGGGTAGAGGGATGAAGTTCAAAGCATATGCAAAGGCGTCTAAAGGCTCAGTAATTTCTCTCCTGAGATTTGGGATCTTGGCTTCCCCTGTGGGAGCCAACCACTTATTTGAGTAGCAGCTTCTGGATATAAGTGAAGGGTGCCTTAGAGGATAAGTCAGCAATGCTTCTGCATGCAAAACGCCTTCCAGACATTGATTTCTACAAAGTTGTCAACAGGCCTCCCAGCTGGATTGAATGGGGTGGGAAGAGGCATCTGGCGTGAGAGTGGGGGTGCTGGTCTTCTGGGGGCACTAGCAGAGTGGATCTCCTGGGCTGGGCTGGGTTTTTCTTTTCTTATTTTTTTAAATATTTATTTATTCGAGAAGTAGAGCTACAGTGAGAGGGAGAGACAGAGAGAAAGGTCTTCCATCTGCTGGTTCACTCCCCAAATAGCTGCAATGGCTAGAGCTGGGCTGATTGAAGCCAAGAGCTAGGAGCTTCTTCCAGGTCTCCCATGTAGGTGCAGGAGCTCAAGGACTTGGGCTATTATCCACTGCTCTCCCAGGCCATAGCACAGAGCTGGATTGGAAGAGGAACAGCCAGGACTAGAACCGGTGCTCATATGGGATGCTGGTGCCGCAGGTAGAGGATTAACCTACTGCACCACCACGCCAGCCCGTGGGCTGAGTTTTTCTAAGAGAAACATTTAGGGTTTTGCTTTTTATTAGGTGTGTGTATTTAGGTCTCCTTCCCTAAATTACAATCCAGACCTCACTGGCAAATGTGCCCATTTTAGACACTTTTCTCCCCCTGTGCTGGTGCCTCCATTCGGACCTGGGACAGCATTTGTAGCACAGTCCCAGGGTGAGAGGCTTCCCTGCAGAGCAACCTCCAGCCATTCCCCAGGCTCCCTGGCATGCAGGAGTCAGTTCTTTTTCAGCCCCGCATGGAGGCGGTTTCACTGTCAGTGCTGCCAGGAAAGACTGGGCACCTCCTATCTATCTGGAAGCTCTGGTGGGCTGCTGGGTCAGGTGCAGGAAACAGCCCCACAAACCACAGGGCGGCACAGCCCTTCCCACCTCATGGTATTGCATCTCCTTTCGTGTCCTAGCGTGGGTGAGCTGCCAGACCTTCCACAGAGGTTGGAGTGAGAGCTCTTCAGTGAGCCTGCTTGTCAGTCTGGATGCTCCAGGGCCATCAGTGGGCAACTAAGGAAGAAGAGAAGCCAGCCCCCCATCCTCTGCTGCTCGCGCCATTTCCAGTGGCCATCCATGGTCTGCCCCGAAGGCTCCACAGCTCTGCCAGTGTCAACTGTCATGGTCTCCTTGTCCTCACCCTCTGCCCTACCCCATCCTGTAACATTTGGGGCACTTGTAGCACGAATGTAGATCACCAGTCCAGAGACTCCCAAAATGGGCATTTTCAAAGTTACTCATGACTTAGTGATAGGAATTGGACATGGTTTCATTGCATTCCCCAAGCATTCATACATTGGGAGCTCAGTCCTCAGTGTGATTGTGTTGAGAGGTGGTGGGACCTTTAAGAGGTGTGGCCTTGTGGGGAGTGGTGAGATTGGTCCCACCCACCCCCATTCTGGCTTCCTGTCTGGCCTTGTGATCTCTCCCCATAGCAAGTTAGCAGGTTCTGGCCACTGTGGGGCTCTTGCAAAAACTGGTACCTAAGGATTAGATTTTCAGCTTCCAAAATTGTAGCCAAATGAACTGCTATTCATTTTGTTGTTTATTTGTACATATTTGAGAGGCAGGAAAGAAAGAGACATAGAGAGGTAGAGGTGGAGCTCCCCTCCACCGGGTCACTGCCCAAACAGCTGCAATAGCTGGGGCTAGGGCTGGGCCGGGCCAAAGCCAGAAGCCAGGAACTCAATCAGCCACACGAGTGGCAGGGACCAGCTACTTGAAGCATCACCACCACCTCCCAGGATGTGCATTAGCAGAAAGCTGGAATCAGGAGTGGACCTGGGATTGGAGCCCAGGCACTTTGCTATGGGAGATGGGCGTGTTAACTGTCGTATTCAATGCCGGGACAAATGCCTCCCCCAACCTCCATCTTTGTAAGTACCCAGCCTCGAGATTTTTGTCACAATAATGAAGAACCAATGGCCGCGGATAGGGTTAGGTAGTGTGGACTGTGAATATTGGACACTGAAGTGCATGAGTGTGATCGGGGGGTGGAACGAAGGTGTGAGTGTGAGAACCCTCCCTTCTCGCATCCTCTGCACCTGCTGCTGTCCTGCTCTGCAGAGGCTGAGCCCTGACACCTGGTGGACCTGTCCCCGCCCACCCCTCTCCTCCCCACCTCTGCCCGTTTGACCCTCTCAGCATCAGTCCGGATGTTAAGATCGCATTTTTCAGTCTGATGAAAACAAAAGGGCACATTTACTGAAACCGGCAGTGAGTTTGTTTCTTGGGAAAGCAGTGGCCATGTATTTAAAATGAGAAAGAATCCTGTAAGGCCAAATCCATTTTATTGGGTGAATCTGTAGCAGTGCGGTGGTGTTCTTTTTCATAAGATTGACAAATCCTACACGGAGAGAAAGAGATTTGACACAGCAATTTAAGGAGATGTCATTAGCAAGCACGAAGCCGAGCAAAGTGATTCCTCCCCATCGGATCTCTTTTCACAGCTCATTAGTTCTCTGGGAACCAGAAAAAGGTGCTTCCCAATTATCCTGCCACAGGCAAGCCCTACAGGGGGCTGGCAGCCGGAGCTCTGCTGCACAGTGCACGTGGCAGCGTGGTGCCGCGGGGAGAGGAGGGGCTGTCCCTGGTCCTGCTGCGGAGCCCGTGACTTGCTGCAGACAGCGATGTTTATGCAACCTGGTGGCCCCTTGTGTGTGCTTGGGAGGAGCTTGGCACCAAAGCTTTGTCTCATTATCTGTGGCCGTGAGCAAAAGCATGGACCTCTCTGAACTGCGGCTGTCTTGTTAGTACCGAGGGGCTACTGTGTGCTTCTCTGCAGTGTTTTGAGAATCAAGGTCACGCACCACGGTGACGCCAGCCTGCCGCCAGGCACACAACAGGTGCTCAGGCCAAGGGACACTGCAGAGATGAGTCCGGACTCAGGCTTAGACAGCAACAGCAACTCTTGTCTTTTTGGCAACTTCAGTGCAAGCAGTTTAGGTTTCTGTGATGCTCCCCTTCCCTGAGACACGCCACTGAGGCCGGCAGGAAGGAGGCCATGGAGTAAGGGCTACGAAAAATGGGGACCATTTGCTCCAGATCACCAATAGAGAAGGGACTCCCCGAACACACAGGGGCTCCTCTCCTCCGTCAAGAGCAGCTGTCCTAGGCAATGACCCAAAGCAGTAGGAATGAAGACCAGTGGGCTCCCTGGCTGTGCAGGAGGCTGGTGGGTAGCATCTGCTGGGAGAGTCATGGGCAATACCCACCTTGGCCTGCAGGGGTGCTGATGGGTGGAGAAGGGGAGAACTGCTTTTTTTTCTTTTCATTTCTTTTTTTGGACAGGCAGTTAGACAGTGAGAGAGAGAGAGAGAGAGAGAGAGAGAGAAAGGTCTTCCTTCCGTTGGTTCACTCCCCTAATGGTCGCCACAGCCGGTGCTGCGCCGATCCGAAGCCAGGAGCCAGGTGCTTCTTCCTGGTCTCCCACGCAGGTGCAGGGCCCAAGCACTTGGGCCATCCTCCACTGCCTTCCCGGACCACAGCAGAGAGATGGACTGGAAGAGGAGCAACCGGGACTAGAACCCAGCGCCCCAACCGGGACTAGAACCCAGGGTGCCGGCGCTGCAGGCAGAAGATTAGCCAAGTGAGCCACGGCACCGGCCATGGGGCAAGCTTTTCTTCTGGGGTCCTGGAGGCTTCTCCCTGGTAGTGGGCCTTTCCAGACAGGAGAGGCGGGGATGTTAAGGCAGGAAGTCGGCACTTGCGGGGTCTCACAGATGAACTTTGGGAAATGCTGGAGATGCTGAGGTCTGTGGGGATCACCAGCAACCCGGTCTCCAAGCCTGGCTCCACTCGCATTGGTCCATGCAAAGTGACAAGCGCAGAGCCAATCCCTTGCGGAGGGCCACACCCCGCAGGGGGTCTGCACGGAGGGGCAGTGTTGGGACGTGACCCACCGAAAGGCTGGCGGCCCTCAGACTTAGCATCTGGTAAGTCCATGTTTAGTCCAGGACTTCTAGGATAGGAGAACGTTCCAAACTCTGATTGGAGCAACTGGTCGTCCAGCACAGGGTGTGCTTGGGATACCAGGGGCTGCCTTCTTGTACTGTCACTTCTTTCCACGCCAGGAAGCAGAATTGGCACATGGAGATTAATAGTTTACTAATCCCTGTGTTGGCGGGCTCTGGCCTGGGGAGTTTCGGGACAGCGCTGTGTTGATCTGTTCCGCTTCTGCAGCCTCTGGAGTTCCTAGAGTGTGCTGACGGGTGTGCTTTGGCCCTGACTCCTGGAGGCCCCAGCAGCGTTAGAGAGGTGAAGGGTGCCTTCCTTGGCCAGGTAGGGGATGTTGCAGAATGGTACACAGAGGCCAGTGTGAATCAGGAACCTGGCCAATGTCCAGCTGCCAGGGTGGCTGTCGCCATGGCATCCCATCCTCACCTGGCCACCTCCCTGGGGTTGTCACCGGTGGGCACTGACTGCGTCTGACTCCGACCAGTTCTAGGTCTGGCAACAACGGGGTGTAGAAATAGGCCTGCTGGGTAGGCCTGGATCTGGGGAGCCTGGGTGGAGGCGAGGGTGCTGGCCCTCACCCAGGAGCTGGGCTGTGGTTCCTCTACATTGCAACCAAGGCATCCAGGCTTGCTGGTGGGCGCCCACCTTAGACTCCTGATGGCATTGGCTCCCCCAGTGGGTGCAGGTCTGCTGCCTGCCTCCCTTTCCCCTGAGGGTGGGGTGCCAGTCCCTTACCCCTTCCCTCCAAGCCCTGCCCCTGGCGGGAAGGCCCCACATGCCCACTGCTCTCAAGGTCACAGCCATGTGCTAAGCACAGAGACCCTCTCCTGAGAGGCGGGCAGGTCTCATCCCAGGCCGCCGCCCTCCTCTTCTCACCAACCCCAGGACCTAGAAGACCTAGCCTGAGGGTGTGGGGCCTGGGCTCCACACGCTGTCCCCTTGCCCTGTCTTACTGTGGCTCTGCCTCTGCCCCCTGGGAAAGTGCTCCAGGACCTGGACAGGATGAGGCTTCTGTCTTCAGAGGCCAGGGGAGCCATGGCTGTGTGAGGCCGTGTGGCTGGGAACGCGGGAATGCTTATTGCCAGTCCAAGGCAGCCCAGCAGGAGGCCGTCTCAGTCCCTGCGGTCTACACCGCCTGTCTCCAGACTGCTCCCTGGACTTCCAGACTGGAAAACCAAAGCCCATGACATCCATGTCAAGGCTCTTCTCTAATCTGTTTCTCTTAACATGTGCCTCCCGGACCCCATTTCCAGGGTGGGAGGACGCAGCCTGCCCCTCCTTCCCTGGGCCTTGCCCCTGTCCTGCCTGGCCCAGGCCTCCTGCCGGGTAGAAGGGAAACCCAGGGGCTTCTCACCCAGCCCAGGAGCGTGGTTCAACCTGGGCCTGGCAGTGAGGCCAGGGTTTAAGCTAGCTCCTGTCCCATCTTGCATTGTGTGTGCTCATCCCCTGGAGTCCTTCCCTGACACCTGTCTGTCACCTGTCACCACTGCCTCATGTCCTGTTGCTCACCTTGACAGCACAGGTGAGCACCCTGAGCTCAGGCTGTGTCGGGGCATATGCTTATTTTCAGACCGCTGTGGCTTTTCTTTCTGTGTGTCCCCCCCTCCCCCCGCCCACCCTGCCCTCTGTAACTCGGCTTTCTCCCCCCTCACACCACAGGCTCTGAGACTGTGAGAGAACAGGACAGAGCCGGTTAGAGGTGTGCTGTGGATCTTGGGCCATGAAGGACAGGACGAAAGCCAACTGCTGAGGCTCTCCCTTGGGTGGGAGGTGCAGGCCATGGTGCGAAGGGCCCAGGCCCCCTTCTAAGACTCACTCTAGGGAGATCCAGCGTCTGGAGGGTGACAGTAGGCACGCAGACACAGCAGTGGGGAAACACGCTCACTGGGCAGGTGGCAGAGACAACCAAGGACCCTGTGCTCTGTGGCTCTCAACAGGATGCCATTGGCTTCAGATTTCAAAGGGGTTGCCTACAGGACTTGGATGGACCTGAGCCACAAAGGCTCCATGAGCTCACCCCAGGCCAGAGGTTGGAGCTGCCATCTTACCAGGCAGATCCCCCTCCTCTCTGAACCCACAAGCCTCAGGTCATAGCAAGAGGGCAGGGGGAGCCCCTTGCAGCTGTCAGTCCTTGGGGAGGTCTCTGAGGAGTCTCAGGAAGAGAAGTGACTGGGCATCAGTCGACAGAGAGAGGACAGAGGCCACCCTGCACCTGCTATCGTGGGGGAAGCCCGGTTGGCTTGGCCTCTAGCCAGTGCAGACAGAGGCTGCGACACAAAGGGCCCAGGATGTGCCCTGCAGGAGGCCACCTGCTCTGGGAGGCCCTGAGCTGGGGGATGCATGAGTTATTTCTCCCCCACTGAGCCTTGACAGCCCCTGGGCCCCCTACCAAAGCTCACTCAGCAATCTCCTCTCTCCCCCGCCCCGACTCCGCAGTGCCTTTGTGCACAGAAACCGGGGAGGGGAGGCTTCGGGGACGTGGCCCCCTCACACAGAGCCCCTGGTCTCCCGGGAGACACAGAGCCTCTCGGGCTCGTCCTCTCCGTCCTTCTCAGCCTCGGCATCCGGCCCCGTCTCAGCACAGCCCCCCAGCAGGAGCGGACTGGGGAGGTACGGCAGGAGGCGGCCTTCCCGCTTCATTTCCGCCAGTTCCTTGGCACAGCAGCTGGGTGTGTTGGTCTCGTAGGTGTCGTGGAAGGTATTGTAGTCCACCTCATAGAAGCCCTTTTCTAAGGTAAGGACTGGTGTGAATCGGTGGCCCCACAGCACCTCTGTATCCATGTAGGAGCTTCGTGCTTGGCAAGTCATGCCTGGAGAGAGAGAAGCCAAATAAATGAAGGTACAGTCACCCATCCGTCTGTCCCTCCTTCCACCCATTCATCCAGTGATCGATCCATCCACCCATCCTTGTCTCCTTCCTTCCTTCCTTCCTTCCACCCATCCATCCATCCGTCTGTCCCTCCTGTTCGCCCAATCAAGCATTTGCAGAAGGTTCACTTCATGCTAATCACACTGGAAATAGAAAGCTGGGCAAGACACAGTACTTGTCCTGGAGGAGCTCAAGGTATGATAGGGGCAGAAAATCAGAGCTCACCTCACATGATCCTGGAGTACTGCCCTGACTAGGATGAATTCACTTTTGAAATAGCTTGAGGCTAGGGCGTGGCTACTGATAAAGCATTTAGGTCCAGAAGACCGAGGTAGGAGAAGGCAGGAGAAATTCAGAGGTGAGGCTGCCGGGAGTTGAGACTGTATGGGGACTGTGTGAGTAGACACATATGGATAGCAGCCGCAGACACACACACACACACACACACACACACAGCCTGGCTTCCCGATTTGGGGATGCTCCAATGCATCCGTTCCCTGTCCACTCAGCCCTCGCCATGCCTGTGTTATTTTTAGGTGCTGTTTTCTCTCCAGAGAGGGAGGGAAGCTTTGTTTATGGATGAGGAAGCCTCTGTTCTTAAGAGTCCCAGGAAAGCAGCCTCCTGGTATTTAATCTTCTGGCCCTGCCAGGTGCTGGCTCGTGCTCTTTGGAAGCAGAGAGAGACGCTTTCCGCAGCTGCCCACTGGGAGCCTTGCCTGGGAGGAGTCTCATGGAACCCGGACCCAGGTCAAAGGTGGCTTCCCACCCACGTGTGCTCCAGGGCCTTGGCACCCCCACACACGGTGGGCTCACAGCTCCTGTCTGCTCTTAGGAGACACCCGCCCCAGGCAGGCCTCCCCTCTCAGTGCTCACTGGCCCCCAGCCTCAGCAGAGGTGTAGACACCCAAGGTCTACAGGTCCAGGCCAGATGCCTGCAGGCCCCCCAGGGCTCAGTGAGCCAGGCCTCCCACAGGAGTCCCTGTTGGGCTTTTCCTGCTCTTCTTCCTGTCCCCCCTCAGGGGGATGGGGCCCGGGTTGCCCAGCAGAAGCGATCCTGCATGTGTCCCTGGCCACCGACAACCCCTGTCCCCCTTCAACGTGTTTGGGAGGAGTCTCCAGCCACCGTTACATCTGGTGTTCATTTCGGCACTGAGTCCTCCCAGCACCCGAGACTGACCCTCCTCATTGTGCTGACAAGTTAATCAACTTGCACAAATGCAGGTAGGCGATGGCAGAGTGCTGCTGTTCTAACCTAGATCTGACAGCGCAGCGTCTGCTTGCCTAGGTGAGCCTGCTGGCCACACCCTTCGAGGCACTGAGGTCAGACATGTGTGGCCAGAAGGCCTCCCTCCCTCCTCGTGGGCCTCCCCAGGAAGGGAGGAAGTCAAGCAGTTAGGACAAGGCAACTCTGGGCCACTGACTTTGAGGGAGATGTCGTAGACGGAGCCAGCTGGGCCGGGTCAGGGCCTGCTCCTGCTGCTGCGTGTGGACCACAGGCGCTCCCTGCTGCACAGCCGGCATCAGCCAGGGTGACCACAGGAGGAGAGGGTCAAGCATGGCTTTAGCATTTATCCTCATGTCTCTGACCCGGGTCCCCCTTTGTGGTTTCTATGCAAACTCAGCTGATGCTCTGATCAAGGGCAGGGTGACCTGGGAGGCCCCAGCTCTGCAGGAGGAAGGTTCCTGCATCCTGGCTGTCCTTGGCCCCAGGGGATACTGCGGCTGTCACCATATGTTGCTTGGCCAGGCTCCGGCTCCCAGCAGATGGCCAAGCAGCCCCCTCTGGCACCAGTCCCTGAAGTCCGTTAGCAGCCCCATCCTATGCCACTGCTTCCAGAACAACGGGAATGTCTGTGGATGCCCCTTTGAGTCTCCCATCCAGGAAACAGCTTCCCAAAGGCTACAAAGATGTGCTGGCCACCTGGGAGACAGGCCCCCATTATTTTAGTGAAAAACCTTATTGTGAACACTGACAACCTGTGCCATCTTTTGGAGAGTCAGCATCCACATGTATAAAATGGGGCTGAAGCCAGCCCTTCACTGTTATGTGCAATAATTAGAACAAAATAATTTAAAAGGGGGGGTGTGTGCTGTGGTGTAGTAGGTTAAGTCTCCACCTGTGGTGCCAGCATCCCCTGTGGGCACCAGTTCGGGTCCTGGCTTCTCCTCTTCCAACCTAGCTCTGTGCTATGGCCTGGGAAAGCAGCAGAAGATGACCCAAGTGCTTGGGCTCCTGCACTCATGTGGGAGACCTGGAAGAAACTCCTGGCTCCTGGCTTTGGACTGGCCCAGGTCCAGCCATTGAGGCCATTTGGGGAGTGAACCAGTGGATTGAAGGCCCCTCTCTCTGCCTGTCCCTCTCTCTGTCTGTAACTCTGCCTCTCAAATAAATAAATACATCTTCTAAAAAATGTGCCATTCTGAACATGGGTGAGTTTTCTATAAGTCGCCTTCTCTGGCTGCTCTGTCTACTCCGTGATAGAAAGAGAAAGAAGGTGAGAGGAGGGAAGGAAGTGAAAGGCAGGTGCAGGGTTTTGCTGGTGGGCTCCCAGCTGGGAGAACTGGCCCTGAATGTGGGTAGGGGGACGGTGGTTCTCAGCCCGGGCTTGGGCTCCCTCAGGCCTTAGGCTCCCAGGGCCACATGACCAAGGAACATTGGAGGCTCCTGGCTGGCCTGTGAGGGTCAGCTCCTGAGCAGGGAGGAGCAGGCTGAACGTAGAGGTCACGTTCTAGGGCGTATGTGAGAGCCGACGGCCCAGCATGAGTGACTGTGCACTGCAGGAACAAGCCAGCCTGCTCTGGGTTCACTGAGCAGGGAGGCGCCCGGCAGACTGCTCGGGAGTGGGCGTGGCCAGAAGAGCCCCTCCCGCAGGGCTGGGCCATAGCTCTCTCCAGAACCAGGATTCTCTGTGGATGTCCTGAGTGCCGGAGAGGCGGCACACTCCTCTCTGATGAGCTTCACAGTATACAAAGCCACCCTACTGGAAAGCATCGGTCTTCTGTGTCACCCCATGCTTACCAAAGTCATTTGATCAGACAACTCTTTTTGGGGGTTGCACCTGTGCCAGGCTGTGGTGGGGAAGGCAGTGCGGCACTTTGAGGTTCAGTACCTTGCTCTGCAATTTAGGCATTAGTGCTTGTTCTTGGGGAAACAATTTAACTTGTCTCCGCCCGTGTTTCTTTCATCTGTACTTTAACTGAAAACTATTTTATTGGGGGGGGGGGAGACAAGCAGTTAAAATATGTTTCAAGTCTAGAACCTCGCCTGGAGAAGTCTCAGCGTTACTGTCAGCTTGAGCAACAGTGCCCTTCGGACCACAGTTTTGGGACTGGGTGCCCTGTGCTGTCTCTAGACCCGCAGACACAAACCTGCATCTTCTTGGGGTCGCAGTGGCCCAAGGTCCCGGTGTGGGCAGGGGCCTCGGTGGCCACGGCGGACAGAGCACCTTACCTGTTGCTTCCACCATCCCTTCTAGAATGACCACGACTTCGAACTCCTCCTGATCCAGCTGAGCCCGAGACATCTCCCAGAAGGGGCTCTTCTCGTTGATCTCGTGGGAAATGATGAGCGGGGACACCAGGAACAGGCGGTCGTCGCCGGTGTCGAAGCCCACATTGATGTCCGTCTGGTTGAGGGGGATGAACTCCCCTTCTTTGGTCTGCCGGGACTTGATGAGCTTGGCGCGGATGGAGGCCTCCACGATGTGCGAGTTGCGCAGGTCGCCCACGCGGAACATGAGGCACAGCTTCTCATCCCGCATGGAGATGACGGCGTTGTTGGAGAACATGAGGGTCTCGGCTCGCTTCTTCGGCTGGCTGATCTTGACAAACATGCAGCCCACCATGAAGGCGTTGACGATGGAGCCCAGGATGGCCTGCACCAGGAGCAGCACGATGCCCTCGGGGCACTTCTCAGTGATGACCCGGAAGCCATACCCGATGGTCGTCTCCGTCTCGATGGAGAACAGGAAAGCCGACACGAAGCCGCTGAGGTTTTCCACGCACGGAATCCACTCCTGGTCGCCCACGTGGTCCAGATCCCCCCGGATGTAAGCAATGAGCCACCAGATGAAACCGAAGAACAGCCAGGTGACGGTGTAGACCATGGTGAAGACCAGCAGGTTGAAGCGCCACTTGAGGTCCACCAGGGTGGTGAAGAGGTCACTCAGGTAGCGGTAGGTCTCCCGCACGTTGCCATGGTGCACGTTGCACTTGCCGCTCTTCTCCATGTAGCGCTGCCGCGGTTTCTTGCCTTCCGTCAGCAGGCGCGTGCGGTCGGTGGTGATGGGGACGTCATCGCGGGCCTGTTTGGGGATCTTCTTGGGGTCCCGGGGAGTGACTCCAATCTCCATGTCCTGGTTCATAGCGTTCCTAGAGTCGCCAGCCATAGCTGGGATACACTGAGTTAAAAAAAGATACCATGAGTGGAGTAGACAGTTCTCAGCCACAGAAACACCGGAGTGTTTCTCTCCTCCTCCCTGTACCCCGCACGCACACACACCCCGACCCTCTGCCATGCAGGGCATCCGACTGAATTCTCAAGGGCAGCTCGTTCGTATTCCAGGGACGGATCCTAGCACATAACAGTTGCTCAAGAGTTGATTTTGCGGGGGACCAGCCGGCCCTGTGGCTTGGTGGGTTAATCCTTTGCCGGCATCCCATATGGGCTCCAGTGCGTGTCCCGGCTGCTCCTTTTCCGATCCAGCTCTCTGCTGATGGCCTGGGAAAGCAGCAGAAGATGGCCCAAGCCCTTGGGCTCCTGCACCTGTGTGGGAGACCAGGAAGAAACTCCTGGCTCATGCTGTTGCAGCCATTTTGGGGGGTGAACCATCAGGTGGAAGATTTCTCTCTGCCTCTCTCTTTCTTTGTAACTCTGCCTTTCAAATAAATAAATACAGTCTTTTTTTAAAAAAGAGTTGTTTGCTGAATGAATACATGAACAGTCCCTGAATGCAAACTACACATAAAGTGCTTAAAGGATTTAAAGAACTCTGGGGGCAATTGAAAACATCATAATCACAACAATTTAATAAAAGTCTACTATGGTCTTTGTAATATTCTTGGGTTATTGCCTTTGCTCACCACATAACCCGTTGGAGTTAGATATTGGAATACCCAATTCATGATGTGTGCTTATGCACTGTCTTTTCTTGTAGGCCTTTCTCCTTCACTGAGATGTAAATTCCTCGAGGCCATATTTCTGTATGCTTTCTTCCCGGATACATGCCAAGCACCTACAGCATATTTAGGCAACACAAGGGGGTCTTCAAAAAGTTCATGGAAAATGTATATTGTGAAAAAAACTATGCATAGATTTCCAATTTTTTATACCAAGATAAATTTTTTTTTTAAATTTTTTGACAGGCAGAGTGGACAGTGAGAGAGAGAGACAGAGAGAAAGGTCTTCCTTTGCCGTTGGTTCACCCTCCAATGGCCGCTGCGGCCGGCGCGCTGTGGCTGGCACACCGCGCTGATCCGATGGCAGGAGCCAGGAGGCAGGTGCTTTTCCTGGTCTCCCATGGGGTGCAGGGCCCAAGCACCTGGGCCATCCTCCACTGCACTCCCTGGCCACAGCAGAGGGCTGGCCTGGAAGAGGGGCAACCGGGACAGAATCCGGCGCCCCGACCGGGACTAGAACCCGGTGTGCTGGCGCCGCTAGGCGGAGGATTAGCCTAGTGAGCTGCGGTGCCGGCCTCCAAGATAAAAATTTTTAAATTCCATTTTCATGATCTTTTTTTCAAAAAAAGATTTATTTATTTATTTATTTTAAAGGCAGAGTTAGAGAGACAGAGACAGAGATAGAGACAGAGAGAGACAGAGATCTTCCACACCCTAGTTCACTCCCCAAATGGCCTCAATGGTTGGGGGTGAGCCAAGCCAAAGCCAGGAGCTAGAAATTCTGAGTCTCCCACATGAGTGCAGGGGCCCAAGCCCTTGATCCATCTTCTGCTGCTTTCCCAGGTGCATCAGCAGGGAGCTGGATTGGAAGAGGAGCAGCCAGGAGTCAAACCCATACGGGATGCTGGCATCACACGCAGGTGGCGGATTAGTCCGCTGCACCACAACACTGGCTCCTCCTTGAAGTCTTTGTGGTCCCCTCATCCTCTGTACGCTAAAGGTACTTCATGAGTACATGGATGAGAATACAGGAAAACATTGTGTTAAAAGAGTAAGTGAGATCCAGGCCACAAAACCAGAAAGTGGCAGAGCTGATATCTGAAACCTGCTCGCCGGGCTCAAAGCCTGTGCTCTTGCCTTTATGCCTTGCTGTCTCCCTTCTTTTTATCTGGGATCTTTTAGCAGCAGACAGAAAGGAAAAGGCAGCGTGTCTGATTCACCACGTGGTCACTCCTCTTGTCTGAACAGGGCGCCTGTGGCTGGCTGAGCACTCACCAAAATCACAAATTGCCATGCAGACCCACCATGGAAAAATCTGATACAGTTATACCCTGGCCTCTAAGAAATTGAAATGGGCAAGATGTTCACGTCCCAAGGTTTTCAAAGGGACGGGGAAGCATTTTTCCAGTCCATGCCCTAAGGAGACAGCGAGACACCTGTGATACTGCTCTGCTGCTCCAACCCATTTAGAATACTTTGAGGATCTGAGGAAAGACCATGGGAATCTCTGCACTGAATAACAATAGCTTAAGCCTCTGAGTATTCATGAACCAGGCAACTGTGTGAGAAATTTAAACGCACTGCCCCGTTTGTCACTCACAGCAAAGCTGGCTGACAGCACTGCCTCTTGCAGGTGAGGAGAATGAAGCTCTAGAAATACGTGGGGGCCAGCGCTGTGGCTTAGCAGGGAAAGCCACCGGCAGGGCCGGCATCCCATATGGGCGCTGGTTTGAGTCCCGGCTGCTCCCCTTCCGATCCAGCTCTCTGCTATGGCCTGGGAAAGCAGTAGAAGATGGCCCAAGTCCTTGGGCTCCTGCACCCATGTATAAGAAATAGAGGAAGCTCCTGGCTCCTGACTTCAGATTGGCACAGCTCCGGCCTTTGCAGCCAATTGCTCCCCAATTGGGGAGTGAACCAGCAGATGGAAGACCTCTCTCTCTTTCTCTGTCCTGGCTGAGAAACATGGGGGTGCCTTGGCTGTTCTGTCACCCAGCCAGCTGCCTGTTCTCTGCTGTATGCTTGAGCCCAAGCCGAAGCTTTGAGCATTTCCAGGCACTGATAAACTTGTTTAGGCCATTGCCTGAAACACGGAAGGACTGCACACGCTGTTAAGCTCTTAGAAGTCAGCCCGGTTGGCCGGCGCCGCAGCTCACTAGGCTAATCTTCTGCCTTGCGGCGCCAGCACATCGGGTTCTAGTCCCGGTCGGGGCGCCGGATTCTGTCCCGGTTGCCCCTCTTCCAGGCCAGCTCTCTGCTGTGGCCAAGGAGTGCAGAGAAGGATGGCCCAAGTGCTTGGGCCCTGCACCCCATGGGAGACCAGGAGAAGCACCTGGCTCCTGCCATCGGATCAGCGCGGTACGCCAGCCGCAGTGTGCCAGCCGCGGCGGCCATTGGAGAGTGAACCAACGGCAAAGGAAGACCTTTCTCTCTGTCTCTCTCTCTCACTGTCCACTCTGCCTGTCAAAAACAAAACAAAACAAAACAAAACAAAAAAAAAGAAGTCAGCCCAGGCTCTAAACCAATTCCTTAAGGCCTGTGTAAATGCCACGCCTGACCCCTAGATGCAGACACACCTGGGCAGGATGGCTTTTTCTCAGTGTCCCTCGCAAGGACAGCTGGCCACTTCGGGATCACCTTGGCCTTTAGGGCTTCCTTCTTTGGAATACACATCAGCCCTATTTTGGGGGTGGTTTGAGGTATTCCTTTGTGGGAACTGCCCAGCCATCACTTTTGGGGTAACCCCAGTTGTGGGTGTAGCCGGACAGCACACCAGGAAACTGCGTCCCAGATAGAATAACAGGGTGAGTGTTCTATAAGTCAATGAAGAAACTGGCTCATTGGTTAACCAAGGCAGAGCTCCCCAACCTGGGATGGCAGATAGCCCTGGGACTTCTTTTCCTTTGCTGTCTGAGTGACCGTGGCCATTTGAAGGTAACCTTTAAAACTTATCAAAGGGTCATGCAAAGGATGATGTGTCTCAGATGTCCACTGGCCACGTTCCATTCTGCACAGAGCCACCTGCTCCCTGCTCTGTCACAGGGCGCTCATAATGATAAATGCAACAAAGAAGGACATGCATGGGGCTGCTTGTGGAATCCCAAGCAAGATGTGGCTCTGTGCAGATGTTTCCCTGAAAACCCAATGGACAGGCATGCAGGCCTGAGAAACGCTGCAGATCCCCAGGTCCTGAGCTCGCGGGGACCCACACAGGGATCCATCAGCAGAGGGGGACTGCCCGAGCTGCTGGTGTTGGGTGGGGCAGGCACAGTGCCCGCAAGAATGAGTCAGCGGCCAGGGCACCTGGGCAAGCACATTCTCCCGCCTTCAGCTCTTTGGGGAGAACAGCTTTCTGCTGATTTTCCGCACTGTTTCCTTCTTTATTTTTAAACATACTCTCCTATGTTCTTGTCACAGAAAGCCTTGTGCTGTACCGGAAACACGAAAGTGTTTTCTTTCTTTATTTTTTTAATATTTGTTATTATTTCCATTTTTAAAGATTTATTTATTTATTTGAAAGTCAGAGTTACACAGAGAAAGGAGAGACAGAGAGAGAGAGAGACAGAGAGAGAGAGAAAGAGAAAGAGAGAGAAGTCTTCCATCCATTGGTTCACTCCCCAGATGGCTACAATGGCCAGAGCTGCGCCATTCGAAAGCCAGGAGCTTCTTCCAGGTCTCCCATGCGGGTACAGGGGCCCAAGGACTTGGGCCATCTTCTGCTGCTTTCCCAGGCCATAGCAGACAGCTGGATTGGAATTTGGAGCAGCTGGGACTTGAACTGGCGCCCATTTGGGATGCCGGCACTGCAGGCGGCGGCTTTCCCTGCTAAGCCACAGCGTCGGCCCCCAGGGAACTGTTTCTTAGGACAGCTCAGTGCAGCCCTGGAACCGTCGCTTGTTTGACAGGACCAGGAAGTAAAGGCAGTTGCTTCTGACTGACGCCATGATTCCTTCTCCATGTGCACACCGACTGCTCCTCATTCACGCCAGGGTAAGGTTTCCTCTGGGGCTCAGCATCCAGCAAACGTGCCCTACAGTACGAAAACAACCAAAAACCGAGCTGATCTGAACTTTATTTGCCTTAGCTTGCTCTGCTGTGAGCGGTCTTCCAAAGGACACTGAAAATGAAAAAATTGGAGCTGGCACTGTGGTGTAGAAGGTTAAACCTCTGCCTGTAGAGCCAACATCCCATACTGGTGCTGGTTCAAGTCCCGGCTGCTCCTCTTCTGATCCAGCTCTCTGCTTTGGCCTGTGAAAGCAGTAGAAGATGGCCCAAGTGCTGGGAC